AAAAAATTTTAGGCTGATTTACTCATGTCGACATTATAGGACAATAAATGTAATGGCCCCCGTCGTTAAATGTGTGGCATGAAATAAATTTATTTCAACCAAATTTATAGATTACAATAATTTATAACCCCCATGAAAAAAATTGCAAAATTATTATTATTTATATGGAGAGTTACAAAATTTATTGAGTTGTTTTTTAGTTTTATTATAACTAGAAAATAATGAGTAATTAAAACCATATTGTCTTCTTCTTATTTTTGGATTGATAACAATAATTTAATAAGGAACGTTAATAGCAAGATCAGATTACAAATTAAATTAAAGAAAAATCCCAACTAAGCAGTATAAGAAATCTTGATTGGTTTGTAAGTGGCCTAGGTGAATTACACTTGGCACTGACTTAGAAAATCTTAATGTAGCTTAGAGTTTAATTTAGTCCAAAATTTCGTTTAACCGTAGTAATTCGATCAAATTCATTTAATTTGATTAATCGATTAATTATTAAATTAATTATAATAATTTATCAAAAATAATTTTTTAATAATTTAAGTTTTTCAGTTAATTTAATTTAAAAATTAAATTAATCAAAATATAATAAAATTTAAATACAAAATAAAAATATATGAAATGAAATAAACCATTTTATTTTATAAATTGTTAGAATTTTTAATTTAATATTTTTGTTCTTGAATATTTTAAATATAAGAAATTAACAATTTAAAATATAATATAATTTATATTTTATATTTTGATTAATCAAAAAATAAATTTAGTTGGTTGATTTTATAAATTAATAAACTCAAATTGATTAACAAAATAAAATTAAAATAATTCGATTTTAAGTAATTTAATTTGAAACTAATCGAATGAACGTTTATATAACTTAATTAATTCATACAATTAATTCATATGATAAATTTAAATTTTAAATCTTGTAACTTATTTACTGTTCATATCTTATTGCCCTTTAAATTAGAACCTAGAAACCAAAAGGAAAAAACTGTTTTAAGGTAAATAAATTTCAACGTACATGAATTTGACCAAAAAAAAGTACCATCAAAGTTAGCAATCCAGTTAAACATTTGCTATCTTCAACTATTTATCAACAGTACTGTCAAGATACATAACTGGTTCAAGCTCAATTAATGATAAGCAAAGGGCCAAAAAAATTTTTGAGGATTTTGTTTTTCTCTTTTTTAAAGATTCAATACTAATATGGCCTAAAACAAAACAGTTAAAAGTTAATTTTTTAAAGAATATAATAAAAATAAAAAAATTTAATTTTAATTACAATAATCATGATCAAAATTAAACGTCTCAAGTAACAAAAAAAAGTAAATACCATTCTAATTAAGTTTCAAATTTTAAAGATTGCTTCTAAAGGGAGAAAATGTGTGCTAAAACCGAATTTTTAAATTTTTTTTTAATAAATTTCAGGTTCTTACACCATTTGATGATAAATATAGTTAAGATCTTTAAGGGGAAAAAAAAAGAAGAAAGAAATGAAAAAACTTTACTATCGAAGAAATAGATTAATTTGAGAATTTGTGTTTTATATTATATTTATTTCATATTAAACATAAATAAAACATAAATATTATTATATTATAATTTGTGCCGAAGAATATAAAATATATTTTTATTTTTATTAAATTAATATATAATTTTTATTAAAATTTTGAACTACAAATAATAAAATAGAAAAACCTATTAACAGACTTTGTAGTAAACACTTCTTTTTATTTTGATGAAATAAACAAAAATACTCTTAAATCATAATTCAATAATCATTTAAACTTTTAATATTTTATTGCAATAAATAAAATCTTTAATCTTCTATTTCGACTCAATTAAACCTTAAATGGATAAAATCTAGTCATATAATTAAATTTAATCAACCAATCCTTGAACTAAAGTAAATTAAATTCTTAGAGGGATCTTAGAGAGAATAACATAAAAATAGAGTACAAAAAAAAAAGAAAAAAATTATTTTAATTAATTTTCACATATATTCATTTTCGTTATATGGCAAACTTTCATTTATTTTATGGATGTCACATGAAATTTTATTTTAGTTGGTAAAAAAATTTAACGGTATTAACTTTTTCATCCTAATAAAGGTTTAATTGAATGCAGATAAATGTTGGAAAGGGTTGATTGATTGTAATGAAAAGAAAAAAACTTTGAATGATTTTTAATTATAATGCAAGGGCTTTTTATATTGTTGTACCTATTTATTTAGTCAACAATGTCAATCCCCATGCTCACCAAGTTAGTACATGCCCAACTACCATATTGTCACAAAAGAAGGTTGACATCTAAACTCCTAATCATAAAGCGAGCTCACCCACGCCTAGCAAAGGACTCACTTAACTACGTACATTAATATCCTATCAAGGCACTACTTTACAACAAAACCAGTTGATTTTTAATTTGTCTGAGATAATTAAATGCAACCACGCTAGTATGGGATCATTAAATGCAGCCCACACTCATCTATTTAACATTTCCTTGAGCTTCATACTATCAACTACCAACAATTTCAATCATGTCATTGTCTTTTCTCTCATATATAAGAAAAAAAAGATATCCAAGTACAAGATGAAATTTGAAATTTTCTTTCTTAAGCTTATTTAGCACTTTTTACAATTTACATTTTTCCTTCCAAACATCCTAAATACTTGATTGACCCGAGCGTCATAGTGCATCATGGAAAACCAACTCTGACATCCCCTAATCATGCTTTCTTGTTGCAGGGATATGCAATGTTGTTAATTTTATTTTGGTATCGGTTGTATTGGTTAATACCCTTTAGTTATATCAAAACACGGTACATTTAGAGGTGATTTTTTGTATCACATTTGGTGCTAAGTAATGCTGATTGTTTTTGTTGGTTTTAGCTAGTTTCGATGAATTTTAATGAATTAACTTATTTCAACCGGTACATAAATGTTAGTAGCAGAACCTCATTAACACCAAAAGGGGCATGACCCCCTTCCAAGATTTTTCAAGTTCTCTAATATATATCGATATAATGTATATAATTTATAAGTATTCTTTTAAAAAAACTGGAAATTGCCCCTTTAAAAAATTAAAAAGTTGTTATTTGTTATTATAAATGTTTAAAATCTTTAAATTTTAGGTTCAAATTTCATTGTATGTGGATTTATTTCAATTTTATGTTGGATTTGTTTAGTTATGCTCTAATGTGTTAATTAGTTTATTTGTTTGACTATTATGTTATGTAATACTTAATAATAATTGTAATTTGTACTTGTGATTTCAAAAAAAAATTTAAGACAAAAAAAAATTCAATTCTCAAATTCCAATTAATTTGTAAAAAGTATTAAAATTTTAGTTTAATTCTTATTAAAAAATTAAGAAATAAATATATTTGTTAAATATGACCCACATTAAAAGGCCAAAACTATTCAAAGAAGCTTAAGAAAAAAATTAAAAAAAATTGAGATTAATATAACAAAAAGAGACATAAATCTTATTCCCTAAAAATCTGAACCCAACACTAAGTCTTATTCCTTAAAAGCTTGAATCTGACACCAAGTCGCTATAGTTATTACAAAAGAAGGTGTATTCTTATTTTTTAGAGGGTCAATTACAATGACGAAACAAAAAAGGGTGATTATAACTTCTTTCATGATAAGATCACTGTGTCTTTTTCTTTTGATTTGGAAACTATTAATAGTAAATTATAAATTCTTTTTAATTTTAAATATGATAAAATTATCAATATTTATTGAAAGAAAATCTTAATTTGTTAACTACATTAAAAGAAATTTAACTTAAAATTTTTAGTCTAACCATATTCTTTTTATAAAAGATTGTTGTGTACAATTTTAAAGAAAATTATTTGAGTTTTTTCTATTTTAAATAGTTATAATTTTTTATTTCAATACTTGAATTTTTTATATACCTTATTTATGGTTGTATTATGGAATGTCAAATTTCACTTAAAATTTTTATACCTTTAGATAAAATAATAACCTATTATATATTAAGTGAAAAATTTTAAATTACCATTGTTATTTAGTTTGCCCCCTAACTTGAAATCTTGAATTCGTTATTGATGAATGTGAAACATATTTTATAATTTTTAATTTATTTTTTGTTATTTAATTATTTTTAATCTAATAAAAATAAAATTAATTGATATAATAATCATTAAAAGTTGAGTTTATTTATTTATTTTATTTAACCTTTTTTAGACTTTATTTTTTATATTAAAATTCATAAGTATTTCAATCTTTTTTAAGAAAGTAATTGTGCACCTCTCTAAAGTTTAACAATTATAAAGTGAAGGTTAGTTTTTTATCTCTTTGTTTTTATCTTAATATTTACATAAAAAGTTATTTATTTAAATATTATATAATCAGATTAAATGTTTAAAAATATCAGTAAATTGATGATATTATTTTTTATATTTTTCAACTTATTTGTTTTATTTTTTTAAGATATTACCTATTTTTTTATAGATTATTAATAATATCATTGTGTACAAATTTATGTATATTTATAAACATATTTGTATTAAATAAAAAATTTAAAATAATATATTTAAATAACTAATGCCTGCATATATATAATTAAACAAAATTAAAACATTATTCAATACGATGTTATCAATCTCGGATACGGATCATCCTTCACATGACCATGTCACCATCCACCTTACCAACACTCAAAACACCGTCAAGGTACACCCTTTAGCCTTTTATTTGTTTAGTAAATTATTCCATTGCTTTTCCCTCCAAAACCCCATAAAGATACTATATTAGTATTTAAAAAAAAAAAAAGAAAGAAAGAGAAAAGAGAAGAAAGATTAATAGGAAAACCAGTAAAAGAGTAAAGAGTGGAAGATCACATCCATAGGTACGTTGCTTTATGATGTTAAAAGTGAAATTGCGAGTTTCTTTTGTCCACAGTCCACATACAATGAAAGCAGCAACAACATGGCAACTATTAGGACAGCTGTAGACAAAGTGGGCCTTCTCTTTTGCTTTGTAAATGTAGGGTCTTTCTTTCATTACACGAGAAAATCCCAAGCCCTCCCGCCTTCCGCTTCTTCTTGAATCTTATACTACTGTATAGTTTGTACAATACAAAGCAGTAGAAAGATAAAGTAGATAGATGTGGATATAGTCATGGATAAAGATAGAGAAAAATAAACTAAATAAAGAAGAAAGAGAGAGACAGAGGAAAATATCAACAGTAGAGATAGTGAGTGAGGGGGAGGGGGACTGGGTTATGTGGTGGAGTTTCTTCTCTGTAGATGATGGATACCCCAGAGAAAACCCAGATCAGCTCTTCACTCTCAAAGTTTGAGGTAATAGTTTTCTTCTACTTAATCTTCCCGGGGGTAACCTTTTTTCTTTTGGTTTTGTTTGCTTTCTGCTTCACTTCATGCGCTTGGATTTGGTTTCTGTGTGACTGCTGACCTTCATCTTTCTGGACTTTGTTTGCTAAAACTGTGTGCTTTTTGTTCATAGTGTTGGAAAGTTTTGTTTTTTCCCTTTTATTTTTGGGGGTGTGAATTTTCTAGTTTCATGTGAATTGGATCTCTGGTTAGAGTTTAATTTTTTGACAAATATTTTCCTTCTGGGTTCTTCTGCCTTTTTGTGTTTATTTTGGTAGGGCTTACAATTGAGCTTTTTCTTTATGTTATGATTTACTTGTAGAACTCATGTTTCTGGGATTTTTTTTTATTCCTCATTTCTTTTAAATTATTTTCTCTTCGCTCACAGACATTGTACTGAATTCACTTAAAATTTTCAGTCACTGCTTTTGATTCTTATTCTCTCTCAGGCTCAGGCCTTGGTATATTAATTATTTGCATTTTATTTATACTGGCAGATATCTAGCCCTTTGCCTTTTCTTTTCTTTCTTTTTCTTTTTGTTTTCTTACAGAAGTTTCTTCAACAATTGACCATGGCAGAATTGTCTTCCTGCTCAGTGTTAGTCTGTTAGACATGTGAATTTCTTGTCTTCCTTTTGCATTGAAAGTTTTACCTTTTTTTTCCTTAAAAATCATCATTTTGACCCTGATTTTGTTGATAGTCATTTGGCACAGTAGATCTCTTTCAATGAGCCAATTATTAGTTCAATATTTTTTTCAAGATATTTCAAATGATTTGCTGTTGCAACAGCATACATGTGTCATTTCCTCTTGCTCTTGTATTCATCTTTGTTGCAAAATTTTAGATGTTAGAGAAGCATTTGATTTGAATCGAAAGATGTTTTGCAGCAAACATATTTTAATGCTCAAGAACATCTAATTCCATACTAGAACTTGATTAACTTAAGCATCTGATATTAACTTTGTAAAATTATCTAAGAAGGGTTTTTTTCCACTGTGTACAGGATTCCCCAGTCTTTAACTATATCAATAGCCTTTCCCCCATCAAACCAGTGAAATCCATACACCCTACGCAGACATTCAACCCACTTAGCTTTGCATCACTTCCATCTATTTTCACTTCACCCCATGTCGGCTCTCACAAGGAATCTAGATTCCTGAAAAGGTAACAGACTTGCTTATTCTTGATTGTTGGTGTCCAGATTCTTTAATTTCATGGCTTATTACCTCACTTTCATTTGTCTTGTTAATGCTAATTATTCTTTCTTTACAGGCATAGCTATACCGATTCATCAAAACCTGAGTTGTCTTCTGGTGAGGGGCATAAAGTTAGTACAAATCAAGAGGCTGGTATGGTAGCAGGTCAGCTGTGTGATAGCACTGCTGAGCTACAAGAGAATTTTAATCCTGGAGTTTCCCTGGGTGAAGCTTCTCTTGAGCTGCCTACTGGAACTTCAAGGTTTGCAATTGAGCTGCCACGAACCTTAAATTATGATTGTGGCAGCCCCAACAGCGATCCAGCACCTTGTGTTATTGAGACAAATTGTGTGTCAGAATCCACTTGCACATCTCTCTCAATTGTTCCGTTTGATCAAGAGGCCTCTGAAAAAGGTTTATCTGATGGAGTAGAAGCAGTAGGCATTTGTCAGATTGAGCAAGAAAAGCAAAACATAGAATGTAACTGGGAGAATTTGATCTCTGATGGGGCTGACCTATTGATTTTTAATTCGCCTAATGATTCGGTGGCTTTTAGGGGTGCATTTCAGAAATCATTGGACCCAGTTACAAGATTTTGTCCTACTCTTATTTCTCGGTTCCCACAAAATGATATCCATGAAGTGTCCCAAACCACTGTTCATTCCTATGAACGTAAAGACCCTTGTCTGCAAACTGGAGAAGCTGGTGAGCTGGAGGAAATAAACCATGCACATGGAAATTTTGAGGTTACTAGTGTGACTAACTGCATGTCTGGCAGTCTGACTGACAATGTGGAAACTGGGATGTGTGACTTATATTCTTTTAAGGTAAGAGATGCTGTGTAGCCGTGTTATTAACAACATTCAGTCAGTGTTAATTTGAAGTGATATAGAGTAATTTTTGCTGCATGAGTTGCAGAGAAGTAGAAAACGTTCAACATGTTTGTTCTTTTACTAATTGCAGCATGATCTGAGTCTTTTCTTCATATCATGTTGTAGGAATAGCAATCTAGACACTGTTACTTATTATTGCCTTCAGTTCACAAAATTATATTTATGATCCTACTCTTAACTGCTAAGGATATATCCACTGTCTTAGTTCAAGGTTGCCTGCACTCTCCCATATATTTTGGTGATTCCATTATTGCAGGGATTTCTTTATTTAGTTGTCTATGCAACAATTTGTTATTTTAATTCTCCCCATTATTTATATGAAAATCATTCTCTCTTGATCTGCTATCACTGACAATGCTTTTATATGTTTACGCATAGCCTGGTTCTAATTTGCATCGTGGATTAAGAAGGCGCTGTTTAGACTTTGAGATGCTGGCAGCTCGGAGGAACAACTTAGATGATGGTTCAAATACCAGCTCTTATGTAGATAACCAATTGGTGCCTACTAAGCCTGGCAATGATTCCTCAAGGTGCATTTTACCAGGAATTGGTCTGCACTTAAATGCTCTTGCAATAACTTCAAGGGATAACAAGAATATCAAACATGAAACTTTATCTTCTGGGACACAAAAGATAAGTTTCCCTGGCTCCACTACATCCATTTTACCCCCCACAGCAGGTCAAGAAGCTGTTCATGAATCTTTGACTTCGGCCTCTACTGAAAGAGAAATAGATCCTGCTGAAAATGGGGTTCAACTTGCAGAAGATGCTTCTCAGGCATCTGCCTATTTAGCTAATGAAGAGTTCAATCAAAATAGTCCCAAAAAGAAGAGGTATGAGGATGTGACAGTTTATTGGATTATTACTATCTACTATTACATATCTAATGTTTGTTTTGTACATCATCATTTTATGGATTTTCAGACGGAGATTGGAACAAGCAGGAGAGAATGAGGCCTGTAAGCGTTGCAACTGCAAGAAGTCAAAGTGTTTGAAACTGTAAGTTTTAATTTTGTTTTAAATTTTAGAACATGCTTCATATTCATGGTTACTGCTGTGATCTACTAGGATAAGTTGGAGTCAAATGCCATCCCCTTTTCAACATTTCGTGTTAGTTAGCAACATGTTGCCTACATTTCTTTTCTCTTTCTTATTCTTTGAGAGATGCTGGTTCATATTTCCTATTTTTCTCCTATATCTTGTGCAAGAATAAATGTTAAATAATATGTGAAAGGAAACAGTTACATTTTGCATTTTTCATTAGATGTGCTCATTTGCTTTATGAACCTTCTTTTCAGCTACTGTGAATGTTTTGCTGCTGGTGTATACTGCATAGAGCCATGTTCATGTCAAGACTGCTTTAATAAGCCTATCCATGAGGATACAGTACTTGCAACTCGCAAGCAGATTGAGTCTCGTAACCCACTTGCATTTGCTCCCAAAGTCATCAGGACCTCTGATCCAATACCTGAAGTTGGGGTAAGGAATAACTCTAATGTTTCTCGATCTAGTTGGTCAATCATGAGTTGCTATATAGCCTAATTTGCATTTCTTCTTGCAGGATGACTCTAGCAAAACTCCAGCTTCAGCTCGACATAAAAGAGGATGCAACTGCAAGAAATCAAGTTGCCTGAAGAAATATTGTGAATGCTATCAGGTTTTTTTTTCTTCAGCGAAACCTCTCTGCTTATGTTGTTCTAAATAAACTGATTCAGAAGTCATTTGTTTCTCTTAAAGGGTGGTGTTGGATGCTCCATCAACTGCAGATGCGAAGGGTGTAAGAATGCATTTGGTAGGAAGGAAGGTAAGTGCGCTGTTGGCTTGCATGATTATTTCAATACATGCCTCTTGTTGAATCTACTTGATGTTTTGTTATTGACTATTTGACATTATTTTCAAGTTCTAATTCACTTGATTACTTCGAAATACAGGATCGGCTATAGAGGAAACAGAAGGACCAGAAGAGGAAGAAACAGATCCTTCTGACAAGAATGGGGTGGACAAAAGTTTAGAGAAAGCTGACATCTTGAATACTGAAAAGCAAACTCCAGTTTCTGCTCTCCCAACAACTCCACTACAGCTTTGCAGGTTTCTTCCGTGAACTGCTTGTTTCAATGATAAAATTAATATTTATTGTTACTATAACTTCAATAATATTTTCTTCACAGACCTTTGGTTCAACTGCCATTTTCGTCGAAGAGCAAACCACCACAGTCCTTTACCGCCATTGGATCGTCTTCCACACTGTATAATGGGCAAAGATATGGAAAGCCTAATATTATTCGGCCTCAAAACATCATTGAAAAGCATTTCCAAACTGTCGCAGAAGATGAAATGCCTGAGATTCTACGAGGCAATTCTTCACCCGTAACTGCCATCAAGACTTCTTCTCCCAACAGTAAGAGGATCTCTCCTCCTCAATGTGAGTTAGGGTCAACCCCTGGTCGGAGGAGTGGCCGGAAGTTGATATTGCAGTCAATACCATCATTTCCTTCTCTTACTCAGCATTAAAATCGAAACTTTCCAGTTTTCATGAAGTTCAGATGAAATTTTTTAAATCTTTGTTGTTTTAGAGAGTACTGAGTTTGCATTTAGGCCGTTTCTGTATAATAAAATCATAAAATTACATCTTGCTTCCATAAGTTTCAACTACTCCTGTATAATATGGTATCTTGTATCTATATTTTCCAAACTCAATTTTGTAAATTTCATTATGGTTCTAAACATCTCTTCATAGACATCTCTATCTAAGCATCTTTCAAAGGGATGGGATCGGTGGCCGGGCGGTTCAAACAGTTCAATTGTTTCTTTCTCCTATATCAAATTCAAATAGAATTTGCTGTTGGAACATCAGCTCAATTTTCTAAATTTCGTTCAGGTTACTAACTAACACTGTACTCTTTTTACCAACCAACAACTGCTCGACTATTAGATTTTTAATTTCAATTATCAGATCTCAAATCCTTATAGTTTTTTGATATTAACGATCATATGATCTTTTAGTAAAATGTTGAATTTTTAATTTAAATGATCTATTAGTAAAACTTTGAATTTTTAATTTAAATGAATCGAATTTAAATCTCAATGTCTTACCGGCCAAAAAGAATTTATGTTCAGCTGTTGACCAGAAATGCAAATAATGTAAGCGCCATACTCGATTGACAGAGATGAGATGAGTAAAATCTTCAACTTTTGAAATTTAGAAGTACACAAAACAGAGTAACTTTGTTAGTGAAGCCATCGAGCAGCTCAAGGAATGCAGTAACTGAGAATCGCCAGGCCTAAAGGGTTGATATTGTTACTTAACTCAGTAAAATACATACATGATTCTGATAAAAAAAAATACATCCATGATTAAATAATATATATATATATATATAATGCTTAACAAATACTTGATAAAATCATATATATATATATATTATTATTACCTTCCTTCAAGCCAAAAAAAAAAGGAAAAGTAAAGAATAAGAAGAAAAAAACATAAAATAAAATAACAATGACCCAGGATTATGTATTTAATTAAGTAAAATAAATACATAATTAAATAATATATTTACAATGCTTAATTGTTATATACTTGATAAAATTATATATATTTTATAAAAAATATTTCAGTTGATACTATTATTTTTATGATTTTGAAAAAGAAAAAAATTGAAAAATGTGTCACATAAAAATAATATACTTAAATAAATAAAATAAAATATGATCAAATAATACATTTGAATAATTTACTTATTTTTTCTATAATTTATAGTTAGCTTTATATATAATATATTTGTTTGTGCTGAGCTTGATACAAAGGGTGAAAACTTGAAATTAGGGATATCAAGGAGTAACATATAGGGTAAGTAAAGCATTCATCATCCTTTGTTTGGCTTAGTGGCTAAAGGCGTTTAAGGGGACATCAAGGGTCTGATTTGAATCAGGTCTCTCCCCTTCCTTTTACTTGTATTAGGGTTTTGCCCTCCTGATATAACCAAAAAAAAAAAAACATTCCTTATCCTTATTCTCATTTTAAAATTTTTATATTATACTTAACCCGATGCCAATATCCAATGGTATTTCAAATCTATTTCTATCCCCATCCTCGCAGGTGTTTAATACGTAAGGATAATCTTCATACTTATAACTTTTCTAAAAAATAAAAATAAAAATTTATTTTTTAGCTCTTTTTAAAAAATTTTATCTTGTCTATTTGTGTAATTTTTTATAAATATATATTAATGTAAGTTTTCTAAATAAAAATATATTAATTTTAATTAATCTAAAATGATAATATACATTATTTAATAAAAATCGATTTACTAAATAGGTATAAATATATATATGTAGGGTATGAGTACGAGGTTAGTGTTATATTATTCATTCCTTTCCTATACTCGATAAAAATTTAAAATTATACCTATCCTTATCACCATAATGTAATACACATCCTTATTTTCATTCAATTAAAAAGTCGGATTCCTTATTGAGTGTGGGTAAAATTAACATCCTTATCTAAAATCACAAGGTCAGAAGTCAGTTAAAAACAAAGATCGAATGTGTCTTTGACATTTGTGTTCCAACGTTCAAGTCAGTATTTGAAAAAGAAAAAGAAAGATAAAGAAAAGAAAAAAAGAAGTAATAAATGAGAATTTATTGGGATTCGATCCTTTTATCTAGAATGGAAAAAATGGTACTTATACCTGTAGAGGTGAGTGATCAGGTAAGAAAAGCCCTGTTGGGGGATCTAATAACCGATCTGACGTGGGTGATCCAGGTTGACATGGCAGGTTTATTTCCAATATCTAAGAGACATTAATATGGTCATGCCTTTATTAGGTGGGATATTGTTGGTGCTACAGAAGTCTACTCAGTGGGGGAAGGTTAGCATGCCATGTTGGCTCGATTGAAATGCCCAAGATGTCTTTTTGGTCTAGTTGACTTACTTTGAATAGTGGAAAGACTATCTTGCCTTTTAGACATAAAAAATGCCCTTATCATTCTGTCTCATAATAGTTAGTTTGGTATGTTAAGTCGATCTACTTGAGGTGGCATAGGGGTTTGTTTTGTCGACTTGTTGGATGAGTGAAACTAAAGTGAAACTAGAATGAAACAAGTGCTTGTGCAATAAGGTTCAAACTATTCTAGTTAGGTAAGCAGGCTTGTTTCATTATTATTCAAGGTCGGTCATGCTAGGAACATCTGTAATTAAACTACCCCATGTTAAACTTAGGCATAACTTGTATAAAGGATCCGGGGTGTTTTATCGAGTTGACTTTACTTGCTTGAATCAACATGTCATATCCTCAAATATGGATCAATGTTTTAAGATCAACAAGCTCCTTTCATTCCTCTGAGGTTGATCTCGCTCTTTTGGTTTGATTTTGTAATGTTTCTTTCATTTATTTGTTGTCAAGATCAAATAATCTCCCATGATTTGAGGTGAGACTTAAGCTAAATAGGGAAACTGCATGGGAGGAGAGAAATGTTAAATTTTATTATATATATTATATTCATTTATATTTTTTTTTGCCGAAAAGTTATCCTCATCCTCGCAATAGTGACATGGCTTTATCTTAGTTGTTCATAGATTTTAGCCTTTGTCTACAAAAATTTGGTCGCTTATCATGTCTCATACTTTGCTTTTTTTAGCTTTCAAAGGTTTTTTAGCATTATGCATTTTTTCCTTCAGCTCTGAGCTCTTGTTTAACAACATTTTCTTTTCGTTAATCTTTGTGATACATTTTAATTTATCTAATAATTTTTTTTAAAAAAATCTAACTCACCGAGTAGTTTTATATCCTCTTTCCTTTCTTTTGTTAACTTTAAGGATGAAATTGACTAGTTTGGGTAGGAATACCCAATGATGATATTACCCTTTTCATAATAAATGGTTGGGACTATTCTAAAATAGCTTTAGTAGTATGAACAACGAAGCTATTAGAGAATTAGATGCTAGTATGAGAGCTTAGGGGATAATAATGATTATATTAGTGTTTCTCAGGCTAATCTTGGACTTTCTTTTTTGTTACCTTAGTTGTCGAAGATATCGAATAGGGTTTTTTTTTTTATTTATTTATAATCCCTTCTAATATTTTTACAGGCCCTACCTACTTGATTAGCTTCAAGTTTGATTTGAAGGTTGATTGTTCCCTTCGTAATGAAACTGAAGACATAAATCTTGAGGATCTTGATGACTTTACCATCTTTGTTTTTCAAAATCCTTTCAAACTTGCAAACTTTATATTTTTTCATGGCCTATCTTTGCTTCAACTATTTTTAGCTCTCACCTACCGAGGTAATGAGATCCTTAAAAAGATGGGTAGCTCATAAAGACTGTCTTAATCTTTGCACATCCTATCATTTAATTGAGTTCAAGCTTTCATTTGGCATACTGAAGCATCTTTCTTTTGAAGACTTCAGTTTGAATGATAAGGTTACATAATTATGAAATTATACCAAATTATAGGTATGTAGGGAGTCTATGTTTGTCAGTTTTAGGTTTCCTTTTCATTGTTTTATTGTCCAATTACTAAATGTCTATGGAATAACCATCTCTCAGCTCATTTTTAATGCCTGGCATTACATCGTCAGCTTTATACTAGTTTGTGAGAGCTTATGGTTTACACCGACCCTAAACTTATTCAACCAATTTCTCATAAGAAAGTTTCACCTTAGTGATCGAAACGATACTTAAAAATAGCTTGTTTTAGCATAAAGCTATTTAATATTGTTTTGTCATCAATAAAGGGGTGGAACGTGCTATTTTATTCTTTTGTCAATAAGAAGAGGTGAGAAATTGATATTGCTCGAGTTTTTATGAATAAAATGGCTAATGTGTTTGGCTCTCTCTTCGAAGTAGAATTTAATCACTTTAATGCTATTAATAGATTGTGGGAAAAAAAGGAGATACTTATAAATGCTGTTAGACTAACTTGTAAAGAAATCTTAGCCGATCTAAGGTTTAGGGGAAACGTCTTAACAATCACCTCAATTTTTGATTTGGCCTTAAAGATTTCTTGTTTTAAAACTAATTTTTAGCTCGATTCTCATTTTGTTAGTTATAACTAGCTAAGGCAATTAAATTGGCTTGAGCTCCAATCCTTTTAAAGGTAAAGGCAAAAAGCCTTTCGACATCCAAATATTAGCCAAGCGAACCAATAAAGGCAATGGTAAGGTTACCGAGCTTCCTACTTTACCATCCCAATTGATGAGGGAGCAATGTCCAACAACAGGTTATAAATCTCCTACTATCTTGGCTTATCATAAAGAGAAACTAGTTATCTTCAAAGACCTTATGTATAGGTTATCAAAAAAGCCTCAATCATTTAAAGCCCAAGGTATAGTGGTTGTCATGCCCATGACCATACCTGACGAGTCCCTAGATGAAAAGCAATATTCATTTGGGATTGACTTGAATAAATCTAATTGGGTTTTAAAGAATCTTAAGGTAGCAACAAAATTACCAAAAATATGATAATACAAGAGGGTAAGTTTGAGCTTGATTTTTATTTTATCTTTGGGTT